AAAAAAAAAAAAAAAAAAAAAAGTATTGTCATATGCATACTGTACATAGGAGTTTGAAAAGCAATATATTCTGAAGAAAAATCTACATAGAAAAAGAAAGCTAAAAACAATATTCACATTAAACCAAAGTACTCACGTTGATGCCCAACCCATCAAAGGATTTTCCCATCGCTCCCTGGTATCAAACTCCATTTTCCATTTCTTTGTGTTGTTTACACCAGATTGCATGTTATTGCGAGCAGGAACAAAGATCCTGACTTTTCTAGTTTTGATATGCTCTTCCGGAACACCAGTTAATGTAGTGATATCCTAAAAAAAAACAACACACACAAGCAAATAAAGATGTTTCAAACAGCCCACATACCTGCTAACATGTTTCTGTTGTTCCCTATATTCTTGCAGTTCTATCCAGGTTTGTTTATAAATTGGGTTAAAGTTTCTGGCTTATTCCACTACTTCTCTGATATTTTACTGTATAAACTGTTATGCCAGTTTCTATAAATGGTATATTTGAAAGGTGGTACTAGGGAACAATGGGAAAGGAGTCATAAAAACTTTTGAGGCCCCTTCTGTACAACAAAACTTTGGCAAAGCCCTCCCCCCCCACCACCAATCCCTTTCTATAATAGGGAGCAAACCCAAGGACTTTTACATACATGGGAAGTGCTCTACCACTAAGCTACACACATCCACAATCCCACACTGTAATTTCTGAACAGACTGCTGGTAGAACCAGTAGTCAATAGTCTCTAATCTGTGAGGAGATATAACTGGTCAAATGAGAAAAGGTGTAAGGGGACACAAAAAGTAAATTTCAAATAGAAAAAAAATCTATCATCAGTGGTTTCTGTAATGTTAAGTTTTATTCCTTATTAAAGGGTGTTGCCTTCAGAGGGAGGCCCAAGCCTTTTTGAAAACACTTAAAATAACTAATTAACATTTTATCTCCCTTTGGTGAAACCTACTGAAAGAATGATACAGCAAATCTACCTGCAAAGACAAAAATTTTGTATAATTTTTGCAGACATTTGAAATGAAAGTAAGTGTATCTCTTTTTCCATACTTTTATCCAATAACAAGGGCTCAACTGAGGAATGCACAGAATTTTGATGCCTCAGATGACATATACTTATGGCAGTCAAAATAAAAAATAATAGAAGTATGTCACAGCTTAAATCATGTCATTTTTATTAATAAAGCATTTAAAAATCATTAGGGTTTAGGAGTACAGCACAGTGGTAGAACATTTGCCTAGCGTGTGCAGGGCTCTGGGTCTAATCCCCAGCACAACATTAAAAATAAAGGGTTCCCTTACTAAAGTAAATTTGGAATAACTAGTTAAAACAAAGAGAATGAACATGATTACATTAAACTTGTAAAAATTAGAGAAGTTAATCTATTTTGTGACTTTTCATTAGCATATATCTCCTAATGAAGGCTGTTTATTTGCAGTCTGTCAATTCTATGAACCAAACAATTACCACCTAAGCTCATTTCTGAGTTGACTGGTTTCTCTACCTACAAGGTTAAAAAAATAAAGTTATTTCAGACACCAACCAATCCTCTGGTTAACAAAATACCTTTCCACCTGCATCAATTTGGTGTGGCTACTTTCTCACAGCCTGTTTAAAGAAATGATCAAAATGATCCATATAAATATCTATACAAATATGGACTTCTAATACAAATGTATAAATACATTTGTTAAAAATTTATGTCTAAGATAAAGTAAAAACAAGATAAGCACAAATGATACATAATTTAAAAAAATGCGAATATAAATTTTATTGGTAATTTTTATCAGATTCAATGCAGATTCAATGTCATGTAAATTTAATTTTAAACCATGTCTACAATCCCAAGGGGATTGGGAGGCTGAGGTAGGAGGACTGAGTCTGAAGCCAGTCTGTACTACGTAGTGAGACCTGTCTTGAAAAAAAACAAAAGATTTTTTTTTAAATATTGTTAGATTTTAATGACTTTCTAAAGCATAGTCCTCTACTTAAGAGCATGAAGTGACTCAGCCCTGGGAGGTCTTCAATACTTATTTCCCCCTTTGAATTCACTATATTTGCAGTTTACCATATTTAAGCTTATTATTTAATATTATATATTGTTAAATTAATGTCTTATTTCCTCAACAATAGTTGAAGCAAGGTATAACCAAATACTATAAACATTATAGAGTCATGGGGTTGGGCATCTTCTACAATCAGCAAGCCCTCCATTCTAAACTAAATTCCTAACAACTGAAAGTATACATTACTTGACTTCTTTAAATTAACTAGATGAGATATCGAACTAGGGTTAGAAGAGGCAAGTCTGGCTGCCTGGTCAACCCCAGCCAGACTGTCGACAACCTCTGGTAAGTGGCCCAGGATTCAAAGGAACCAGAACAGGTGAGGAAGCTGTTTATTGGTGGTCTGAGCTTTAAAGCTACAGGTAATAGTTTAAGAAATGGGGCAGGTTCACAGATGGTGTGGTAATGAGAGATCCTCAAACAAAACACTCGAGGGGCTTTGGTTCTGTGACTTATCTTGTGCTGAAGAGGTGGATACAGCAATGTGTGCTGGACCACACAAAGCTGATGGGCTGAGTAAAGCCTGGTGTCCATCTAACAGGGAAGAAAATTTTGGTTGGTGGTATTAAAGAAGATAGAGAAAAAATATAATTTGAGAGACTACGTTGAAATGTATGGCAAGATTAAAACCATAGGAGTTATGGAGGACAGGAAGAGTGGAAAAAAAGAGAGGATTTGCTTTTGTAATCTTTGATAATCACAAAACAGTTGACAAAATCGTTGTTCAGAAATACCTCACTATTCCGAGTTCGATCCCTGGTATCAAAAAAACAAAAAAACAAACAGAAATACCTCACTATTAATGGGCATAATTGTGAAGTGAAAAAGGCCCAGGGATGCAGTCTGCTGGATCAAAAAGAAGTCGTGCACAATGTTGATTTCCTAAAATGAGGGGAGACGTGTTCCTTTTTCTGCTTTGTTTGATATAATTTATCAGTTAAAATGTTTATGAGCCTGCTGTTGTCATATAGGTAGGTTTTCAAGCTAGGAATATACTTTCTTTAATAGGTGCTATTCAAATTTTATATTTCCTCCAGAGTTAGTTTCATTAATTTGTCTTCCAAGGTACTTTTCTCAGAAGCTGTCAAATTTATTTCAAAAAAGATTTTTGTAATATGCTTTCTATATCCTTTTAAATTCTGTAAAATCTGTGGTAATGTCTCCTAGATCTTGATATTGTAATTTAAAAAATGTATAACTGATATTGTGTAACAGGAAGAAAAGGTCTAAAAGAGCAGGGGAATTGGGAGGGGTAGGGGAAGGGAAAAAAGGGAAAGGAAAAAATATGAAAAGAGGAAAAAAAATGGAAACAAGGTCTTTGCAAATAGGGAAGGGTGGAGTGGATGGAGGGAGGGCAAGGGAAGGGGAAAAATAATAAGAACCAAGAAACTCATGTAAAGGTACACGATCCCAATGATGAATGTAACTGTATTTTATACTGAAAATGTACCAATAAACTTAATGGGAAAAATAAAAATAAAAAAAATAAAAAAAAGTTGTGCAGGTGGATCTGGCAACTTTATGGGTTGTGAAGGAAACTTTGGAAGTAGTGGAGGGAATTCTGGCCATAGTGTAAACTTTCGTGGAAGAGGAGGCTATGGTGGTGGAGAAGATGGCAGCAGAGGCAGTTACGGAGGAGGTGATGGTGGATATAATGGATTTGGAGCTGATGGTGGAAACTATGGCGGTACTCCTGGTTACAGAAGTAGAGGAGGCTATGGTGGTGGTGGACCAGGATATGGAAACCAAGGTGGTGGATATGGTGGTGATGGTGGAGAATATGATGATTACAGTGGAGGAAATTTTGATAGTAGTAACTATGGTGGTGGTGGGAACTATAATGACTTTGGAAATTGTAGTTTACAACAGCAATTAAATTACAGACCCATGAAGGGTGGCAGTTTTGGTGGAAGAGGCTCTGGCAATCCCTATAGAGGTGGAAGTGGTGGATATGGTACCAAAATGTTTTAAAAACAACCACAAAGGGCTGCAGTTCTTAGCAAAAGAAGAACAAGGAGTTGTCAGGAAAGCTCCAGGTTAGTTGTCCCAAATGCATTAGAGGGAACTATAAATATCTGCCACAGAAGGAACAACAATCCATAGTCAGAAAATTTACTGCAGCTTAAACAGGAAACCCTTCTGGTACAGGACTGTCATAGCCACAGTGCAAAAAGTGCAGCTACTGATTAATCCAATGTAATGTCAATTAGATGTACATTCCTGAGGTCTTTTGTTTTTTGGTACTGGGTATCGAACTTGGGACCTTGCGCTTGCAAGGCAGGTGGCGGAGCCACTGAGCTAAATCCCCAGCCCCTGAGGTCTTTTATCTGTTGTAGCTTTGTCTTTTTCTTTTCATTATGTAAGATATATTGCTCTGTGAATTGTGGTAGTGGTAACAGGAACAAAATATTAAGGGATTTTTTAACTTAAAAAAAATTAAAAATAGGGGCTGGGGATTTAGCTCAGTGGTGCTGCCTGCCTCACAAGCACAAGGTCCTGAGTTTGATCCTCAGTACCAAAAAATAAAAAGTAAAAATAAATGAACTATATGAAAAAGCAATTCTTAGCACTAGTTACCTCAGAGAAATGAGATCATAGATTTTTATTATATATGAAGTACAAAAGGTCAAAATGTATTTTAGGATATAAAATCTTATTTTGAAAAGTGGCTATCAAATGTTGCTTATCAGCTCTTCATATTTTGAATTCTAACTGCCCATCTTTCATGTCTTCTCAAGTTATGGCAGTAATTTATTGATATCTTTTCCTAATTTCAAGTTGGCCTTTTGAGTTTCTGAATTTTGAAGCCTAAGTCGTGCTAACAGAATCTCTGCTTTTGCCTCCAGAAGAAATGGAAGGTCCTACAGCCCAGCTGAGCTGCTGCCAAAGATAGAGAATAAAAAAGGCTTGGCATCTCTCACACACTTGACACCTAAAGGGCACAGAGGCTCTAAAATCCCTAGTCCCTGTAAATTCAGTCTAGACAAACTGATTTCTCACACTTTTAAAATGCACCACTACGCTCCATTGTTATCATTTCATCTATAGAGCTTCAGCTAGTGACAGAAGAACTTGTTTTTCAAATGACATTTCAATGGGCTAAAGCTCCCACTCCAAGATTCCATTAAAACAATGCAACACTTGAAAAGAATTATGAGGCACTATGTTGATCCTGTGTCTTCAGTGCTTTGCTTTCCAAGTTATCAGTGAGCTACCTGTGACTCCACTT